AAAAAAAATAGTGCCAAAAAAAAAAAAAGAAGAATTAGGTGAACTCAGCAGTCTAATACCTTGAGGGTTGGACCTCAGGTCCCTAACATCTTCAGGTCCTTTATTACCCGACTTATAGGAGGAGGATTCCATGTCTGATCTCTCAGGAAGATTAGCTGATCTTGCCTTCAGGACATTTCTCACAGTTGTCTTAGACTAAGGTGCTTGTAGAGTGCCCAAAAGGATCAAGATCCAGGGACTTTATTAAGCTTGGGGAACAGATTGCATGACTGTTATGTGAATGTTACTGCTGTTTGCTGATAAAAGTTTGTGCTTGTACTAGGGAAAGAAAAGTTAATGAATCTGATAGTTTACCTAAGGAAATAAAACACAAAAGCAAAGGTTTGAATTCATTCAGCTACTTAGTAACTACTTGCCAAATCTTACTCATTGTCTAAATTCTTATTTTTATTTAATTGTACTTTATTCAAACTGTATCAAATAAGTCATCTTGGTTATTTAAAAAATTTTGGTAGGTGAAGAAAGACAATAATTAAGAGTTATTACAGGCCTAAACATTTTCAGGGAAAAGTGCATCTTTTTAGAGTATAAGAATAGTTTCAAACTTTTAACCATCTTGTTTATATTTATTTAAGGTTCCAGCATCTTGGACAGAGCTGTTATTGAGCACAATTTGTTGTCTGCAAGCAAATTGTATAATAATATTACCTTTGAAGAACTTGGAGCTCTTTTAGAGATCCCTGCAGCTAAGGTATTTTCTTGTTCAAATACATAAAAACGAAGTTAAGAGACTAAACTGTTAGAATATGAGAAAATAAAATGTCTGATTGGTAAGTGTTGGAAACTGCAACAAAAAGTATACATAAAATCTCCAGTAAGTGGAAATAAATTATTTCAGCGTTAAAATGGTACTGTAATGGATTTATCTGAGCTTTTTGGGTTTTTAAATTGTGTTTTATTATAATTTTGTGACCCAGAATGGAAATCTTAAAGTTGTTCCAGAATGGACACACATTTTCTGAGGACATCTACTTCATAGTGGTTGCCGATTTCTGAGTAATTTAAGATTTTGATAAATGCCCTGTTAGTTTTTTCTACCTGAGATTGACTCAGATTTAAATATTTCATTTAAGAGAATGGTAATAGTCCATTTGAGATATAATAGGCAGATTTACAGATTGGCTCTTATAACAAATGGCAGAAGAACCCATGTGTAAGCTCAGTGATGGGTAGCTAAACCAAAAGCTTTTAGTTCCCTTTTCTTATGTGAATAACTGTTAGATATGATAATTAAATGTTAAAGTTTCTGAGCATTTGTTGTTTTGTTTTTTTTAAAGGCAGAAAAAATAGCATCTCAAATGATAACAGAAGGACGTATGAATGGATTTATTGATCAGATTGATGGAATAGTTCATTTTGAAAGTAAGAGTTTGTTTTTCTTGTCATAATGAAATGATAGTACACTGTTGCATATTTATTATTAAAATATGTTGAGCAACTTCCTTTGACCCAGAATATCACTACTGGAATGAGCTTATTTCCCAAAGAAATAAATTAAAAATTTTTTCTTTGAGAAGTTACGTGCATGAGTGTATGTATTGCAGCATTTTCTTTGCTAAGGAAAAATTTGAGGAATTGTTATATAAATTCATTTTCTCATCAGACATTATGGATGATGTGCCATCTATCGGGCATATAGAAATGATAGTTGCAGTTTCTGTTCTTCAGTAGTTACTTAAGCTAATAGAGGCACACAGGTAAATAGATCCCTTGACTTTCTCATTGTCTAACACCTCCTCAGCCCTTTATTCCCACTTCAGTTATATGCTAGAGCTTGCTGTACCCAGAACTGTTCCACTTGTAAAATTTTAATTTGAAATACCCCACTCTGACCACAGCTTTCTTTCTATCTAACTTGGATTCTGTGATTTATTATTTTAATTACCTTTTTACAGCAATCTTAGAACACTTGCCTGTTGACTTTTGTTCCAGCAAAACTCCCTCCCACCTTGAATGAACTCATTCTCCATCTTTTCCATGCCTGTACTTGAGTAGCTAGCTAATGTTGCTGGAGAAGAGTCAGAGCACCAGACAGAATGGTACTCGTGTAAATTCAAGGTCATGGGTCCTCAACACTACCTGGAACGCTTGATACCTTTCTCTAGTCCACTTTTTTCTTATTCTGCAAGAACTGTTTCAGATTTTTTCCCCTTAAATTTCTTACTTTCCTCCTTCACTCTCACAGCAGAAAGCCTTGTTGCTTATTTTACCAAAAAAAAAAAAGAAAAAAAGCCCTTGGTCTGAAATTAACTTTATCTGATTTCTAAATTTCTAAATTTTAGATAACTGAAATCTATCTTTTTCTTCTTGTTATAATAGAGATGGTATCCGTCTCCCTATCCAGTCCCTCCACTTGTGCTTTGGATCCCTTCTCTGACCCCTACCCACTCCCCAAAGAAAAAGCAAAACAAAACTTTAGGAAGTTTAGGTTAGCAGTTATTTTCTCTGTCTTCATCCTTTCCTTCTCTACTGGCTTCTTTCTATCAGTATTTAAACATACTTCTTTCTCATTTTAACAAAAATCCTTTCTGGTTCTTTTATCTCTTCTAGATACTACTCTATTTGTACTAGAAATGATTGATAACTCTTTTAGAAAGTTATTTTATAATTGCTGTCTCCATTTTTTCACCTTCTACTCACTTCTTAATTGACTTCAGTGTTGTTTCCATTACTTGACTATTTTTTGCCAAGGTCACCAGTGACCTGCTTGTTAACAAATCCAGTGGATGTTTTTCAGGCCTCATCTTGACTTTACATCGTATCAAATGTTGGAAAGTAGGTCACTCACTTTTTTTTTTTGGCCCCCTCTCCCCTTTGCGTTCTGTGATATCCCACTACTACACCCTGTTCTCCTGCTTTCCCTCCTCTTTCAAATATTCTCTCAGTCATCTTTGCAGGCTCTTTCTCTTCTGTAATGCCTTTAAATTTAAATACTGAAGTTATTTGGGCTTGATCCTAGGCCTTTTTCTCCTCGTTTTACTGAGTTGTCCAGGTAATCTTATTTACTCCCATTGTTTCAGTTATCATCTCTATATAGACAGTGCCTAAATTTACTTTTCTAGTGCAAATCTCTCTTCTGAGTCCCAGACCTATGGCTCTAATTGACTACTAGATATCTCCACCTGATTACTTTGTGGGCATCTCAGAATCAGCATATCTAAAACTGAATTCATTTTCTCCCAACGTTGACTTCCCCACACAAATAACCAGCTAAGCCACCAACTGTCCAAAAACTGCATTTTTCACTTCCTCCAGCATTCTGATTCTTGACATCTCCCTCCTTCACTGCCAAGAATCCTGTCACTTTTACCTACTAGGTGCATATGGAATTCACCTGCTCTTCATTTCTTACTGTCACTAGTCTTTTCTGAGCCCCCATAATCTCTTCTGGCTTTAGAAATAGCCTATTAATGTTTTTTTCTCACATCAACAATTGCCCCTTTCTAGTCCAGTTGCTCTGGTACAGCTAGAGTGATCATCAGCATTTAAAAAATGCATACATAAGAAAGAAATAAAAAACCAAATGATTAAATCATGTTACTCTCTTGCTTGACACATCTTGATGAATGGCTTCCCCATTGCTTGTAGTACAAAGTTCAAATCTTTAAGATGGTCTCCAAAACGCCTTGATTCTTTATAGCTTTCTCTTGCTACTCCAGTCACATTCATCTTCTGATCTTTTGTCTTCTCCAGTCTTGTGAATTCCTTCCCACATCAAACATTCTGAAATAGCTACCCATACCCAGCCATCTTCGATTTGTTCCTATGTCTCAGTTGAACGACATTTAGTTGGTAATGATTTTCCTTACTCCCCAGATTTAGGATATGGCTTTAAGATACATGTTCTTCTGTCATCCTGAATTCTTTCCTAGCATTAATCATAATTATTTTAAATTGTGTTAACTATTTGTCTAGGGGGAGCCCTGGTGGCGCAGTGGTTAAGAGCTCGGCTGCAAACCAAAAGGTCAGCAGTTCGAATCCACCAGCTGCTCCTTGGAAACCCTGTGGGGCAGTTCTGCTCTGTTCTGTAGGGTCGCTATGAGTTGGAATAGGCTCGATGGCAATGATTTTTTGTTTGTTTGTTTGGTACTCTCTAACGTTAATTCTTCCATATTAACTTTAAATCATTTTCACCTGTTTAAAAACAGAAAAAACCAGAATTGTCTTTGGAATTTAAAAAAAATTATGTATTAAGTAGGGAAGGACTGATATTTTTATGATATTATTTTTCCATCTGGGAATATAATTGTGTCTATTCAAGTTATTTTATGTCCTTTAAGATTTTATGGAATTTTTTCCCCATTGGTTCTGTGCCTTTTCTACAAATTTTGGTGCAGTTTTGAATGGC